GCGATACGTGCTTCATCATGTCTGGCCATGGTCCCAAGCATCCCAAAAAATTAGATGTCACGCATCAAAAGAACCGCCGCAACGGCGCGGCGCTGGCTAAAGCTGACACGGCAAGATCTCTGACAAACTTGATTTAGAAAACATGTTGGTGCCTGAGGGTGACAACTAGCTAGGCTCCTTATCCGGCAGAACGCTGTTTCCCTTGAGCCAACGCAGCGACTTCTTGAGCCACACGAATCAGGTATCTAGCAACCCCCCTTTTCAGAGGATGGCAGCGCAGCGACACGCGTGACAAAATTTCCTTCCCACCCAACTTGGTCTGGCGCGCAAGAGCACCATAGCAAGTTGCTGCAGAGTCACGCAAAAGCTTGATGGGCCAGGAACAGCGCTCATTTCCACTTGCGCTGTTGCTGGCTGCTCGCAGGGCCACAGCTCTCATGACTGAGGATCTCATGACTCACGTGTCGCATTGGAAGGTGATACACATTGCCTTCTGGACGCAAGCCGGCGGACATCGAAGCATCACTGGGCGATCGCGATCAGACAGCCAAGCGAATCCAGCCTGCGACAAGCTACGAGCAAGGCGGGCTGGAGGGCTGGGACAACGGAGCCGGCTTGAGTTCCACACACGTCCAGCGGCGTGCCGCAGAACAGGACCAACAGGAGCAGGCAACCGCGTTCTCAATCGACCATGAGCCGGAAATCAGCATGGCGGCTGAGCTTTCGAGAGGGGATGGCTCTTGCCGCTTGCCCACACTGCAAGCAGCAAGCAGGAAGTTCGCAGAGTCCGTCTCCAAGCAAGGCCAGGCCGAAAAAGGACCCGCAGCAAGGCGTGGCCGAAAGGACGGGAGAACACAAGCTCAAAGAAGACCGTCTGGGGGCACGCTGATTTGGCTCTTGAGCAGAGGGCAGCGTCGTAAGCTGGGTCTATGAAATCAGAGAGAGCCCTGCATTAGTGGAGATTGGGGGTCTGCAACAACTCCAACGCGGATGCTGGCGTGACGAGCCAACCCTGGCAGCTCGCAAAGAGCTTAACCGAAGAAAGCCTGACCGGCGGACGGGTGACGCGGCTTTTTCTTGAGCCAACAGCAGCATCTTGAGCCATGCTAAAGCACACACCTGCCAACTAGCGCAAAAAGAAAGAAGGAAAAAGACAGCCAGTCGCGTCGTTGCATCGATCTACATGGCTGACCTGTGGGTCGTCACGGTCACCCTGGCTTGCAGATATAGTGACCCTAAGAATCGAGCAAATACGTTTTATTGGGATGCCTCATCTTATAGAGCAGGGACACCATTTGCAGCCTGATCTACTCAATAGAGGGCTGGCTTTTGGCTTCTCTTGCTCGATTCCAGGTCACCACTGCGAAGTTCTGAAGCAAACAATTGACTCCATCTTTCTTCCGCAAGCCTCGTGGCATTGGGCTGCACTAGAATCAAACACGTCCTGCTAGGCTGTCGGTTGGACTCGGCCATCCGCCGCACCTCTCAGGACGTGTCAGCTCATGCAGCCATCGGAATGAGATGGGCAATGGGCCGGTCCCGAGAACGGCCGCTTTGAGTGGCAGCTGTACTCCGCGGTTTTCCCTGTCCCATCATTTGTGAGCAGTCTTGCAAGCAATCGCATACCGCAAAACGTCCAAGACGTTGTGTTGCAACGTGGCGAGAATCTGGGGGGTGCGCTGTCTTCACCTTGCCCAAAATGTTGCTTGCGTTCCTGACGCTCAAGTCGGGCTGACGCTGCGAAACAGGCCGGCCCTCATGGACTTGATCGATGAAGGCTCAAGGTCACACCCGCTAGGAGTTCTCAGCAAGATGTAAAAGTCAGCGAGCCGCCGGCAATCTTCGGAACGGGCGCTGTGTGCAGCCGGCCCCGGAAAAACACTCGCAAGTATCTCCTCCCCCTCCCTAAACGGGGGCCGGCTGTGACCGAAACTGTGAGACCCAAGAGCCACTCTGAGAGATGTTCATGGGTTTAAGCCAGGCCAACTGGGTCCCGGGCCCTGGCCTCGAATGCCCTCAGGCACTCCAGCCACTAGATGGAGCGACTTCGGCGACCCGTCGCCTTGGTGCCAAAGTGCACGAAGGTGTTCCTCACAGGCACCGTGCCGCACATCGCCTGGCAACAAAATGTCGCCCCTCCATTTTATTTGGGTATGGGTCAAAATTGGTTCACTAGGGGACAGCAGGACTTAATTTTGGCTACCTATGTTTGACCCACAGCCATTTCGAGACGAAATGTCGTTCCCTGCACCTTGTGCCACTGCTGCATCATCTCGGAATCCTCAGGCGGCTTTGACGAAGGGCGACCCCAAACCCATGGTATCCCATCACCAGCACCCTAACCCGAGCCTTCAGAACCTCGAAACCTATCCGAAACCCACCACCACGAACCCAGGAAAACCACGGGCTTCTTGGAGGTTCTCCGGAACCCAAGCCGGCAACGCCCCATAGAACCCCATGACCTTTCAGACTTCAGAAGCTCACCCGCAACCTACCATCTGCATTGAGCCACATGCGACTCGAATCCGAATCCTTCAGAACCAGGTGCTGTGTTGGACCTTCACAGCGCCCTGGCGGCGCCGGTCACGTCGCGTTTCACACGAAACTTTGGGCTTCGCGGCATTCGCTGGAGAAACGAGCAGCCACCACAAACTGGTGGACAGACAAGGAAATAAAGAAAAAGCCTAGAAGCCTCAAGAATCCATCAAGCTTCTCTAAGAAGGAACAGAAGAAAAGACAGCCCGGGCCAGCCGAAGACTGATCACATGTGAAGTTCAACTAGATTCTTCTAGATTCAGAGACATATCCGCGATGGAGCAGCAATCCGGTTGGGCCAAGGGTCAAACAGAGGGGTTCTCGGGTCTTTCACATTCCCTGGCTTGCAACAAGTGAGGTACCGGCCCACAGTGCCCCAGCCCACAGCCCATGCTAAGCCAAGGCTCGAGTTGCAGAACCTCAGCCTCAGCACCGTGGCACAACCGTGGCGCTACCGTGGCGCTTGGGCGCTTTGGGGATCATCCCCCACCCCGAAGTCTTCGAAAAGCCACACCGCAGAGCTGTGCGAAAACCACCATTGACCAAGCGTTTCGTTTTTGTTTGAGGCTCGCCTCTTTGGGGTGGGTTTTACAGGGAATCCAAACGGAAAATCACAAAATTGGGGAGGGGGGGGGGGGAAGTTTTGCAGGGAATCCAAATGGAAAATCATAAGTTGGCGGGGGAGGGTCCCCGTCCCCTAAGAAAAAAGACATGGAGTACCCAAAATCGAACGTGGTTTTATTGGAAACCTGGACTAAACCTGCGGTCCTCTGGTGGATTAATTTTGACCCATACCCACATCCGAGGACCTTCCACGGTGGACGCTGTCGCATGCCCGAGGCGGGCACGGTGACCTGTGGCTCCTCGATCACCTTGCAAACGTCCTGACCGCTGCCCGAAAACCTCCGCATTCTTCAACATTTAGATCAATGTGGGAGTTTGTACCCCTTTTGTTGTGGTGTGAAAAGGAAAACCGAAAGAGAAACAACGTATTTATTCAGTCATTTTGGGGGGGTCCCTAAAAAACACACACTCACGTCGTGTTTTTGCAAGGCTGGCGACTCCTGAACAGAGCAGATCGGCCAGTGCCCCTCAAGTTGAGGCGGATGAACCTGAGAACGGGCGGTGCAAAACTCTCTTTTTGTTGGCACAGTGCCTTCTGCTGGCTAGGGGTTTCTTGCCTTTGACTGCAGACTCATGTTCAAGGCATGCGATCAAAGCAGTCTCTTGCTATAGTCTTTTTGTTTTTGACCCCAGACTCATGGGCACTTAAGCATCAAGGGATCCAAGCCCAAACCCAGGTTTTAGCGAGCTGAGGCTGCTGCTCCGGTTGCCTCTGGCTTCTCGCCATCCCCTCGGCACCCACGTCACACGCTCGCTTCAGCACCCGCGAGCGCACCCGCCAGCGTCGCGGGCGTGGGCTAGGCGCCCGGCCTTCCAAAGCCTTGAAGCGCTCCACGGCTTTCTCGAACTCCTCGCCTGTCAGGTGCCACATCGCGAGCGTCCCCTGAAACCTATCCCCTGAAACCCGAAATATTCGTTGCCCGGCCCTTGAAAAGTGCCTTTGTGGCCAGAGTTTGACGAATCAGCATGGGCCTGCCATCATGAGGCCCAACTTCTTGTGCAGGCGCTGCCGAATCCTCCTTGCTCGCTTTGACTCACGGCTCTTGCGACAACCATCGGAACGCCCAGAATCGCCTTTTATGAGACCTCCGGTGACCCCTTGATGGCTCAAGTCTTGTTCAGCCAACTTAGCCGCCCAGTTCAACTCATCTCCTCTTCATGCCCCGATTGGGCGCCTCTGAACTGGCGGCTGCCGCCCGGGTCAACATGTCCTGGCTTCGCACCATTTCCGCCGAGGGCTTCTCTCGCGGCCTCGACGAAAACGCGCCGCGCGAGCGCGGCGCGGCGCCTCGCCTCGACTTGTGCAAGTCGTCGGGGCTTGGGCATGGCTCGGTCAATGGCCCGGCGCGGATCAAAAATTTGTGGGCAAGTCTGCGATCGCCTGGAGCCGAAAAAGAAAAGAACCAGCTCGGCGCGGCGGTCTGCGCATGGCAACGAGCGCCCAAGCAAAAAATCAAACAAAATAAAACAAACAAAAAGGAACAGAACATAAATAAATTAATAATAATAATAATAAATAAATAAATAAATAAACAAATAAATAAATAAATAAATAAATAAATAAATAGGAATAAAGAAAGAAAGAAAGAAAGAAAGAAAGAAACAAATAGATAACACAAATACAAAAATAAATAAATATATATTTTTTTAAAAAAAAAAAAAAAAAAAAAAAAAAAAAAAAAAAAAGTAAAGAAAGAAAGAAATAAAGAAAGAAAGAAAGAAATAAACAAATAGATAATAACAAATACAAAAATAAATAAATAAAAATAAATAAATAAACAAATAAATAATAATAATAATAAATAAAAATAAAAAGCTGAAGAGTGCATGAAACAACTCTCCTCGAGCTTCTTGAGCTCGGCGTGGCCGCTGATTACCTGAGCTCCGGCGTCGACGGAAGCCCAGCCGAAGCGGGAGATTCCTCTCCGAATCCGGGCACTGGCAACGCCACTTTGCTGGTGCTCAGTGGAATGGGCGTTGGGATCCAGACACGGATTCCCTGAAAGAAAAAACCACAAGGTCGGGAAAGGCCCAGGGTGCTGGGAAAATGAACCTGGGGAGGGGATTTCCTGCAAAAAAACACACAAGGACATGTTTTCCCGTTTCAAGGCCATTTCATTTGTTATTCCCCGCATCTCTCGAACCAGCAAGACCACGCATCATCCATCTGCTGCATCCGGAGCGCGTAGGTGTTGGCGCCCACGGAGGCTTGCACCTTGGGCGACGCAAAGTGGAGCACCTGGCCGTCGTCCTTGAACATGTTCACCTGCCCAAGCCGTGAAACGGGTAATTAGCTCGTCTCGGCCCTTGCAAGTGCTTCACTTCCAAACCCAAGAACCTGGAACCAGCTGGTTCCCCGCCGCTGCTCGCTGGTTCCGCGTTTTGGTTCCTTCACAAGGCTCCGCTGGTCGCTTGTGCCTCTTCGATGCCGGGGATGTTGTTCACGCCTCATGCAGTGACAACTCAAGGTCCGTCTGCGAAAAGATGTCTTTGCTTGGGAGTCTTCAGCGCAGACCCGGGAAAATCGGGGCCAGCTCGATCTGGTTCTTCACAAGACGACCCCAAGAGTTGGTGTCCTGGTGTCCTGAGATGTTTGAAGGAGGGTGGTGTGAATATCTGACACTCCACTTGATCAAGGGGGGTCCGTGCCCGAAAAGTGAGCCTCGCAAGGTTGCAGCTTTCTAGGATACCGCTGGACTGCGCAAAGCTCACTGTCCTACAAACGGGCTTTTGTTGGTTGCTTTTGAAGGCCACCCCGAGAAAAGGGCGCACCCAGTCACCCAGTCTCCCAGAAAGGCGGCAAGGACACGTAGTGCCGGTGTGCACCAGCGGATTGGCGAGTTGCGATCGGGAGAAATTGTGCGAACTGGGCCCTCCAGCCCAGTCGCTTCAGCTGAGCCTGCAGCTGCTTGTCCTCAGCCAGGTGACGAGGAGACAAGAAACCACTGATAGGTCGGGACTTTGTGCAGGAAATATGCTTTGTCAAGTCCGTTACCAAAAAGAAAGTTACCGTACGCCGTATGCCATTCATAGGTCGGGATCCTTGGGGGATAAAAAAGGGAAAAAACATACGCCGTTGGTCAAGTCCGTTTCTTTTTTGCAGAAAGTCGAGCTGGGGCCGCAGGCGTCCGCACCGTTGCTGGCGTGCTTGGACAGCTTGGTGCGGCGCGCGGTGCCCTTGCCGCCTGTGCGCACCTCAGAACGAAGCCAGCAGACATCCCCACAGGGATCCCTGCGCATCTTTGTGTCTGGCCCCCCCCATCTTTGTTTGCTTTTTTCTTCTTTCTCTTTTTATCAAAGTCACTCCCCAAGTGGTAGGTCAAAGTTAAACCCCAGCTTTTGACCCAAGCAACTCTCAAAGAATGGCCTGATAACCGTCGCCTGAGCGCCTAAGCCCATGACAGCATTGAAGCGCCTCAGAGTCTGATCCCTCCAACACCTTCACCCATGTAAGGTTTGCGATCTATGTTCAGCCAGAAAGCTGAAAAAATAGCTGAGCGCTCACCTCAAGTGGGTCGGCTGCTAAGAATCAGTACAAGTGAGCTTTCACGAGGGGGATGCAGGACTCACACGAAACGGAATCTATTTCTGGCCGGCGATATTTGGTCAGCATGTGCTCTACCCCAAGCAAGAGGCGTGGCGGCGAAACCCGGTGATACAGTTGATTGCTTATGATTGATGTTCCATTTGTTTCAGAAGCATGAACCAACTCCCGTTGAACTTTGCTCTCCACATACCCGGTCTGAACCAACAGCCAACTTTCGCACGTCCGCATGTTTGCCAAGGCTGTCCCCCGACTTTTTGGTCTGACTTCTCTAATCTTCTGGCAGCTTCGCTGCTCATGCACAGGCGTCCTCCGCCCTTCGGGCAAAGGGACCGGCCAAATTGAAAAGCGAAGGCACGGCCTTCAGCCTAGCGTCGGCCGCGCCCGGTATGCTCCAGCGCAGCCTTCTCAGAGTCGGCACCCAGGCGCATGACCAGCAACTCCTGACAGGAAAACGGCGCTTCTCAACGTGGAGGACGAGTTGGAGCAGAGAGAGGCTTGCTCCAAAGTGAACATCCAGTGCAATCATGATTATTTTAAAGGTTACGCTTCTTTCAGAAGGTGGGAACTTCAGAACCTGTCTCTTATGCTCTTGGGAATAGCCAGCAAACTGAAACGAAGCTGTTGGCTTTGTGCCATGCTGCAAACCCAGGCGAACCGAGAGCACGGGGGCCAACGAAATGGCAAGGTCACGTCTTTCCCTTTCAAAACCATAGCCATAAGCTCAACCTCTGACGGCAACCCAAATCAACGAATCTGCGCTTGTGTCGCAACAAACCATGAATCGGGAGATCCCCTAACCATGTAAAGGGTATACTCAGCTAGCACGCGCATTGCAGAAGGGATCTGAGTGGGTCCCCCTTTTTAGGGGACCCCAAAAAAAGGTGGGGTTTTCCTGTTGGCTTCCTTTTACACCCAACAAGCACACACCCATCCATGGCTCTTGGGGGCCCCGTTTCGCCTTCCGGCCTCCCGGAGAGTGTCCCCCGGTGCTGCGCGACGGCTGGCGGAGGACCTGCGAAGCGGCGACGGGCGTCCATTTTTTCAGGAGTTGGACCCAAAAAACATGCGGCTTTCCTTTTGGTTGGCCTTCAAAACCAACCAGAAGCGGGGTTCCCTCAAAATTAGAACAAATAGAGTTTCTATAGGAATAAAGCCTATTAGGCGTTATTCCTATAGTTAATTAGATTATGTTAGGTTAGAATGTAAATTAGGGAAGCTAAGGTAGCTTTCCTAATTTACGGAAGGAATTATTAGGTTTTGAGGTTTTATTTGAGATTATACGAAAGTAAAGGTTTTTTAATTATGCTTTTTGAGATTTTGTTTGAGATTATACGGAAGTAAAGGTGTTTAATCCTATTTTTTGAAATTAATCGGAAATTACCATATGGTTTATTAAAAGTTACGTTAGTTTAGGTGTTTTTTGAGATTTTGTTTGAGATTATACGGAAGTAAAGGTGTTTAATCATATTTTTTGAAGTTATTCGAAAATGGTGGGTTTTTTTTAGATACACTTTATTCGGAAATTACCATTTTTTCTGGGTACCTTATCAGGGGGTACGTAGGGGTTCCCCGTGAAGAAGACACGAGCTCAGATTGCGGTTCTGACTTTCTGCCGAAACTATGACATCTGCAACAGCACAATCCACTCAGCGATCAACCTGTGTTCATCAAACACTGATTGGTGCCTCCCACCGCGGCCACGCTCTTCCTCGACTTCTTCAGTCGCCTGGAAGTGCAGCAACGGGAGTTGCCAGTCTCTGCGAGCTTCTTTCCATAAGACTAGCATCAAGTCTTCACACCAAGCGGATAAACGTGCCAAACGGGACAAACGGGACAGACGGCAGGTCAAAGACCCCAGAACCCGGGCCCCAAAAACGCCAGACTCCCGCAAGATCCCGCCAGACTTCGGCACTGAGGTCGCCACCTCAACCTCTGCCTGGGGCTCCTTTCGCTCGAAACTCATAACGCAAGCGGCGCTGACACACCCAAAGACGCGCTCCTGCGCCCTCTCCGCGTCGCCGCGCGGGGACTGGAGGAAGCGAAAAGCAAGTCGCGCATGCTTTTGGCACTCTCGGTGAAACCAACAACCAAAAAAAAACTTCGAGTTGCACATCAGCCGACACGTTTGCGAAGCGTTCAGCTTGCCACGGCCATCGGAGCTGCCTCCGCTCCCAGCGCTTGAAGTAGTGCCTCGGCACAGGTCGACAGGGTCCCCGCATCTGACGGTGTCAAAATGGGGAGATCCAAAAAAAAAAACTTTGGTGTTCCGTTTGGTGACTCAAAACTTCTCAGCTGCAAAGGGCTCCCTCGACCCGGACGTATCATCCACTGGAGGTCCCTGACACTCAACTCCTTGATCGTGTCACCCGGCGCCGCTCGCTTCGAGGCCTCCGAATTCATCAAGCAGAAGAGGTGAGTCTGCGAATGACCCCCATATTCCTCAACCCCAGTTGATTAGTGGAGGTGGGTGAAATGTGGGGAATCAGACCACTTTTGACATGTATGGCCATGGCTCAAAATCCCAATCCAACCACTAAAATAGGCTCTAAAATGGGTGGTGAATTCACCTACCCCAAAGTGGGATCCCATTGGTTTTGACCCACAGCCATATTGCCATATTCATCAACCCCAGGGTTGTTGTTGTTTTTTTTTGGGGGGGGGCGGTATCCCGTGAAATGTGGGGAATCAAACCACTTATGGGGTTGACTAATATGGGGACATGACCATGAACCGAACTCCTGGTGGCTCCCTCAAGGCTCCCTGCTTAGACAAAGTTGGATACCCCCTGCTCCTTGGCTCTCTTTGAACCATCAGCTTCCCTGTCTCTTTTGGGGATCCATTTTGGGGGAACCCTTTTGGGGGTGGTTCAATGGGAAACAGAAGGGACACCCTTGCCGTTTAGCCATGGCAAGGGCTCGAGCACTCCGACCTTCCGAGCCTCCATGGGGCGGTCCCGCCAGTGTGGCTCCTCTTGTAGCCTACGGTCATTCTAGTCTCTTGGTTTGCTCTCAAGAGCACCCCCCCCCTTTTTAACCCCCAGAGCGGTGGTTTTCCCTAGACACGCCCATCTTCACGTCTCACCAAGCTTGGGGCGCGAACTCCTTGGTTTCAGGCGGGGGCGGCGGGGGCGGGGGCGGCACGTCGTCGTCCATGGCTCGACCAATGGCTCTCCGCGTATGTGGCACGTGGCCAGGTTGCTGGGGCTGCGATCCTGTTGCTGTCCTGTTGCTCTCTTCCTGGAGCCAGCGCGGTCCCGTTTACTGACCGCATGTCCCCTGCACCAGACCCAAACAGACGTCAACCCTTCCCAACCATCACAAGCGCCTTCCATTGCTTTCCTTCTTCCAGGTCTCTCGAAAAGCCATGCTTTCACACTCCCGTCCGTAGGCCTTTCCGTTGCCCCCCCCCTCCCGTGAAACTCGCGCCCGACCCAAAACATGCGCCGATCGCTCAACCGCCAAAAGTTCGTGACGGGCCCCCAACTCCGCCAGCTTGGCTCTGGCCGCCAGCACGTCCGCAGACCTCCAGGAAGGCTCGCCGGCTTCGGAGGCTCCGGTTGGACTTTGGGCGTAGGAGTCTCAACTTGGGGGACGCTGTGGACATCCATTCAGAAGATTCAGAAAACCCACCTTCGGAGGGCTCCAACCACCAAAAAAGTAATGACAAGCTTGCAGCCACACACTGAGGTGCCTTGAAAGACTGGTATTTTCGGAAAATCGTCGATTTGCCTTTCCTCAAACCTATTTAAAATATGTCCAGAATAATCCTCTGTAAAAACATCATCGAGCAAACATCCTCTGGGGCGTGCGACTGCACGCTCTTTTCCTTTCCCTGTCTCGCCCTCTTCATCGCTTCTTTTTTCAGAGTGTCCATTTTCCTTACCTTCCCGTTCCCTTCTCTCCTTACCCTTCTCCCTTCCCTCTTCTTTTCCCCTTTTTTCCCTTTCCCTTCTCTTGTTCTCTTCCTTGACCTCTCCCATTCTCTTTGCCCTGTCCTTTCCCTTATTTCCCTTTTCACTCTTCCCCTTCTTTTCCTTTCGTTTCTTTCCCTGCCCTCGCCCCTTTTCCTTCTCCCCTCTGTCATCTTCCTTCCTCCTTCTATGAAATAATCCGTAGAACTTGCGCCAAGTTGGAACTGTTTGCGTAAGAAGCTGTGATGTGTCCAAGAAACTGACAGATGGACAGGAAGGAAGGTGACAGAGGGGAGAAGGAAAAGGGGCGAGGGCAGGGAAACTAACGAAAGGAAAAGAAGGGGAAGAGTGAAAAGGGAAAGAAGGAAAAGGACAGGGCAAAGAGAATGGGAGAGGACAAGGAAGAGAACAAGAGAAGGGAAAGGGAAAAAAGTGAAAAAAGGAGAGAGAAGGGAGAAAGGTAAGGAGAGAAGGGAACGGGAAGGTAAGGAAAATGGACACTCTGAGAAAAGCAGCGAGGAAGAGGGAGAGGCAGGGAAAGGAAAAGAGGGTTGAGGAACACCAAATCGAGGATTCTTTGAAAAAATGACTCTTTCAAGATGTCCAGTCTCTGGCTGGCTAAATAATTCATAACACTAAGGTTCATGGCTGAACACCTGGGTCCAAATTCGTGGCTGGACACCTGGGGAGTCCCAAGCGACCTGGGGCCTGGACTGATTCATCCTCCGCCACCCGTCCCAAACTCCGGCTGAGGTCAACGGAGCTGCGGATGGAGCGCCAAATCGCTCGCTGGATCGGAATGTATCCAACCGGCAAGGTGCAGGCACGTGCAGGGACAGATTGTTGAAGGGAGCGCAACAAGGGAAAGGTGCAGAAAGCCAATCGCAAAATGAGGCGGCCTGGAACATGCTGGGCAAAATGATGTTAAAAGAAGGACATAGGAGCACATGGAACACTCTGCAACTCGCTTTCTGCCAAGTGGCCCAACACTCGCCAGAAATCGGCCAAAGCCTAAGGGTCTGTTGGATCAATTAACAATATCCTGCTGGTTTTCGAAATAGAGAACGATGCCTTTGTTCTTTGTCCGGCCTCTTCCGCTTCCCACCAGATCCACACTCTGGACATGTCAGGGCGTCTTGTACGCCCCTTCCGCAAAACAAGACGAGGAACACCTATGCGACTCGTGAAGGCTCAAGCGTCGCCAAGCGCTGCCAAAAAAGTGCGGTGCTTGGCCTTGTCAAAACACGCGCATGGCAGCTTCCTCAGCTGAAGCTGAGCAATTCGGCTATAACTCTGCCGTCCCTTTCAGGGATCCTCCAAAAATCTCAGTCAACAGGCATGCCGTTTCACGGCGCCTCGGCCTGCGAGTAACGAATGAGAGAGTGTGTGTTGCTCCGAAGTTGGGTTGCCTCTTGCAACGCAGAACAAGTCAGGATCCTTGACAAATCATGCAAGCAACAACTTCCCTTGGTCTGCAAAATAACGAACAACAATAAACAAATACACCATGATGGCAATCCAACCATAACAGCTGTGCTTTTGGCCAGCACAGGTGGCTTGAGCCTGAGCCTAAAACCTCTTGCGCCTGGCTTGGCCAGACTGCACCTACAGTCTAAGAAGTCCCCAAAAGCCACGGCCTTTTGTTGGATCAGTCGCAAAGGCCTTGGCGCTCGATGGGCTCAGAGAGCCTCTCGAGCTCCGAGCCGAGCTCCGCCTCCCGCGGTCGCCGCGCCTGAGGTGAGCGTTTCTTCGGGCTCCTGAAGGTGAGCCGTTGGTGGGGTGTGGAAGCTGAATGACTTCCTTCCGTAGTCCCTCGTGATCCCAATCAACAACCAAGAGGTTTGAGGCAGGTCTCCGAGCGGTGCTTTGATCCCCACCGGACCAACGCTTTCTCTCGGGTGCCCCACCAGCGTCAGCATCACCACAGCAGTCAGAAGTATGGAGGATGCCAGGAGAATGGGCCAACCTGCGATACAGTGTATGGGCTTGGGCTACCCGTCTCACTGGAAACTTGGGACCCGCTGGTCCTGCGTTTTCTAAAATTGCATAGTCATGTCATTTGGAGCCATCCAACTCATGCGTATATGGAGTACCTTGAAATGACCATACATCATTCCCCACGCTGTCCTCCTCTCAAACCGGCTTTTCTCACACTTGCCTACACTTCTGGACATTCTTGAATCCAAGAAACAGCCTTCAATCAGTTCATGACTCATCGTCTTCCAAGCAGTCGACGCTAAACTTTGCCCGCCTGTAGCTTGCAGGAATAGCCTCGGGCCTGGCTTCAACAGGCAAGACATGCGACTTTGAGAATGCTCTGACCTTCACATGGCAAGTTTGGTCATGCCACCAGGCTGCAAGCCCCTTTCATCTGGCTGCGGCTCCATTTCTTTTGGAGTTGACTCTCCAAAATGGCTCACCGGTGTTTTGCTTGGCTTTCCTTTAAACCCTGCCATCAAAGGAGGGGGGATACCAACTGTGGCTCAAAATCAAAAGATCGGAGGGGGTTTGCCCGCAGGTCTTCCATGTTTCCACTGACCGATCGGGTTGCCAACCCATTTACCGGCTTTTTGACACCGGCCACGTCCCACGTCCTGCCTGCCATCCCCCGCGCATAGAGCCGCAGCGGTCGGGGTGCCGCAGGTGCGGCGCACGCCAGCGCGGAGAGCGCGCCCTGGCGCTGCTGGTACTCCTCGGCCGAATCAAGACGCCGTCAAGACCCGTTGTGGGATTCGATTTTGGGGTAGGTGAATTCACCACCCATTTTAGAGCCTATTTTAGTGGTTGGATTGGGATTTTCAGCCATGGCCATACATATCAAAAGTGGATTGATTCCCCACATTTCACCCAACACAGCCCCGAATCTGGGGTTGATGAATATGCTAGATGAGCTAGGGGAACCCTCCCAAGCAAAAAAGAAGCGGTCAAAGGGCACCTGGGGGAACCAACATCTGTTCCAAGCCAAAGGACTCGACCGGGACATTTGGTCGTGGGTCAAAGCCGCGTTGGGATCCCATGTTGGTAGGTGAATTCACCACCCATTTTAGAGCCTATTTGAGTGGTTGGATTGAATCGGATGTTCACTGGGGGGTACGATTTGGGCTTTCACGCCTGACTTGGGCTGGTCATCGATCCTTTCAAACGCAACTGTACGGCCATTCATGGACCAGCTCTCATCAGGAACTCGTTGCTCAGTTCCCACGATCCACGATCCTGCTCTGTTGCACTGATTGGCGCTGGTTGACCCGCAATGATTCGGCATTTGAGACATCAAGTACAGTCAAGGTTGTTTCCATGTGGTGCTATACTGTATGCAACACGTTCCAAAGCGTACTGAGTTGAGCTAAGGCATAAATTGAACCACCGCTTAGCAAGCCCCACCATGCTCCAAGCACCTTTGATGCCTGACCAATCCTTTGGAGCGAGCCGCATATTGGTAGGTGAGCGCAAGCCTGCCACGTTTGCCCGACAAGTGCAACGCAGAGGATCAAAATTCAAGGCAGGAAGCGAGTCAGCCAATGATTTCCAGTCAACAAAACGCAATTCACCGGGATATTTTTATGTGCCTTTAGCTTTAGGTGGTCCTGCAGTCTTGCAGGGCTCCCTATATTTCCCCTTGAAACATCACTCCACCAAAAGGATGCTCCTTTTCAAATGGCCCAAAAGATGATGTCTAAAAACCACCCAAAGGGGAAATACCGGGGGCTTTGTCTTGGGTACCTGAAGGCATCACGCACCTTGGATCACGTGTTCCGGCCTCGCTTCGCAGAAGGCCTGCTGGGCCCACTCTACCGTGAGGTCGGTGTCCGGCGAGAACATGTGGGCCAGCATCTGGTTCATGAAGGCCTACCCCCAATTTGGCTGTGGGTCAACGCGTACCCAAAATCGCTCCCTATGGAAACAGTGACTCAAACCTGTGGTCCAATTCCTGGTTTGATTTTGACCCACACCCATTGGGGTGCGAAGTCCCTCCTTTTTTTTAGGGCTCGGACGTCCCGGAAATGGACATGTTGGTCTTCCTCCTAGCTTCCCAAAAAAAGAACAACTCGCGCCCCAAAAAAGCTTCCTCCGAGCTTCCTTTCCCTCCCAGCTTAAACCACTCACCCCCACAAAAGGGAAGGTTCTCTCAATGCTTTTCTCTCGCTTCCGGAAGCGCCTTCACGGCGGACTGCACCTCATCGTTGAAGGGCAGGTCGCCGATGTGATCCAGCAACGGATACAGCGTGGATCTGGCCAGAAACAGACTGCCGCGTTTGGACAACTGGCCATGGGTCAAAATCCAAATCGTACCCCCAGTGAGCATCCCAATCCCCACTAAAATTGACAAAAATGGGTGGTGGTGCACCTGCCCCAAAATGGCATTGGTTGGACCCACAGGCAGTCGCACTGAGGTTGCAGGTACAAACCGCGGTCCTCAAATGCATCCGAGGCACATGTTAGGCGGCTGAGAGGGATGCAACTGCTTCAAGCAGTTCACCACGTTTCCCAAGGGTTGCCAAAACTTCTCCACCGCGCAGCTCGTCCTCCGCAGCAAACATCAATATGTAGAAACCGGAAAGCCGCCGACAAGCGTCCCCGCCCAGCCGGGTCCAATCTGTGATTTACATCGGAAGCGAAGAAACACAGTCGTCCCGGCCCGGTCCCCATGGTGTACAGCAGCTCGCAAATGTGCCTGGCATCGCTGTCGCCTCAAGGGGATTGACGTGTCCTCTGCTCTCTCATGCATGGATTGCTCTCTCATGCATGGTGTGTTTTTCTTCTGTCAATCTTCGAATGTGCATTGTGGAGTAGCCATTCGCAATGGCGGCAACTCATATTAACAAACAAGCCCTCGAAATCGAAGAAATCGATTGTGCTCACTTGCTGCATGTCTGCCAGGCAAAAATGGGCCCACCTGCGCTGAGACAAGCGGTTTGCCGCTGCTCCTAGCAGTCGGCATTGAACGACGCTGCACGCCGCATTCTTCAGATTAATGTTCACCCCATATTAATGAACCCCAGTTTGTTAGTAGGGGTATTTCTGGGTTTAGTGGGGACTCATCACTTTTGGAGGGGAACACCCCCCTACTCATGAACTATGAACTGGGGTTCATTAACTTTTTGAACCAGCTTGGATGTAATGTTGACCGTCAACATTACATCCAAGCGGGTTCAAAAAAACCATGGCACTTTCTCCATGCTGATCAGGCGACTGAGCAGGGTCCTGGGACACGAGCTTCTCACATAAGCCTGCCTGCGACACTACCACCGCAGCAAGGTCCTTCCTGAGCCGATGGAATCGGACGCAAGGCTTGAGGGAGGGCCCTTAAAACTCGCCGCACCCATCCTTCGCCGGGAACGCATGCAGGGAACGCATGGGTTGTGTGTGTGTGTGCGTGTGTGTCATGCCCATGGAACATGAATCAGGACAACACAACAGTCAACGCCCAAGCTTGGTTGCTGTTGACCCCTCTGCAAAAGCTTTACTTTCTGTGGGTCCAATGGAAAATCCACTTTGTCCCCCAAACAGTAAATTCCAAAGATCCAACCAAATAGCCGTAAAGCCCGATGGTTTAAATCTTTCACCGCCAACATTTCTTACTGTTTCCTCCGATCATCCAGCTGATGATCTGCAAGCTGCTTGGGCTTGCTGCTTCGTTTTTTCACCGAGATGTCCAGAATTTGTCGTCCAATCCAAAACTGACCAAGTGGACTTTGGTCCCCGAGCTGATCCACATCACTCCGAGCTGATCCAGGGCCCCGCGCCCCTGGCACGCATCTGCGATCGCCCTGGCCTTGCGTGCGGCAAAAAAAAATCCCCGCGGATCTTCTTCGAGTCGGCACCAAAGGTGTCCTTTTAGGGCGAATGACTGTGGGTCAAAAAACAGGTACCCAAAATGGAACGCTGGTAAATGGAAGCATGGACCAAAGCCTGCCTAGTGGTTTAATTTTGACCCACACCCAAATAGATGGCCCTGGTAGATGATAGGCAAACCAGGAATCGCCATCTACTTTTCTAGCAAAACCAGAAAGGACACCTATCGGTACCTCTTGGTTGGATTGGTTTTCAAGGAGAACCCGAAGCAAGATCACTTTGGGGGAGGGTCCTCAAACAAAATGACACACCCACATGAGAGCGGACACAATCCTTTAATTACTAAACTCAATGCCATGAGGAAGTTGGGGGGCCCCCCGTCGGTGCTTCAGAATTTTGAGGTTTTGGGTGGTCAGCTATCGGTTTTGCAGGGCGTTTTGGCTGATGTTGCATACCCCAAAGCGCCCCGCACATTCTACCACAGACGACCAGCATGATTTTGCCGGATACTGATGCAAGGCAAAATCGCAACTGGAAGCTCCAGCCCAAGTGAGTCACACTCAAAACCGATCGGTATTTAAATGGTCTGCTCAAACCAATGTAAATAACTAGAAAGGCGGAGATCAAAACCCCTAATTCCCGGATTGGGACTGCAAAAACCCTTCACGTACCCGAATCGGTTCCGGGTGTTGATTGCAAGTGGCTCTCACGCGAACCGCTGAGGTTCCAACCAGCACGGCCAGGCCCAGCAACTGAGGCAGTGGAGCGTACAGTTGTTAAAGCCCTGGAAAAGATATGGCATGGTAAAGATTCAGGTACAAAATACACGAGCAATACAGGATCAATGAAACGAAATTGGAATAATCAGAACGAGAGATTATGAAGAGATGAAAAGAGAGAATAGACTGATATGAAATACATAATGGTTAATTGGAAATGGCTAGACGGCACTATGTCAGCTTCGAACTGCAAAAAGGCCCCCGACTCTGTCCATGAAACAGGTACCAGAATCAGACCGGATACCTCACTGCAACCATCACCCACCTCTGATCAGGTTCTGAACAGATATGGGACAAGAAGCAAAGAACCAC